ATTGATCCTTCTCACTACAATGATGCCCACGTTCCCCACCACAGTGACTGTGTAGATGGTTAGGAACAGCAGAAAGATAGGTGCCTGGAGCTGTGGGAATTCTGAGAACCCCACCAGGATAAATTTAATTATGGTGCTCTGGTTTCTGACTTCATATGCCATGATTCTTCTTTAAAGAGAAAACATGAGGAAAGAAATAAAATTGGAGCAGCAGAACTTCATGGTGTAATGGTAGAGACTTAGGTGATGTTCAGTGTGGCCGCGTGAAAAAGAGAGCTGTCAGTTTTTCTGTGGTGAGTCCTCTGCTTACCTTTGCATTCTTACTTGACCCATTACCTGGTCCTTGATAAAAAGGAAGTTACTGTTTTCTTCAAGACTGTGCTTTTTTAAAAAATCTGAATAAAAAGGTGATCATCATTATATTATGTAAATTGTGTATAAATATATCTGATGCATGGAAGGCTTCATTTGACAATACTTTATGACAAGCATGGAGACATGTAGAAATGTCAGAAAATCATTGAACTAATCATATGTGTTACATGATCACCTCACAGGATCCTTGGGAATAAAAAATACTTCTAAATGCAAATACAAAGAAAAGAATAAAAATTTGAGGCACAGAATATCCCTTATCAAACTTTTACAGTTCTTTATCAACATAATTAATTTTTCCATTATGAATACATATACTATTATATTTTTCTTTTTTCTGTTCTTCCTTTTTTTCTATTTCTTTTCATGTTTCTTTTTTTCTTTTTTATTTTTTTTTTGGTTCTTTGGTTACAGAGTCCTTGAATACAATACCACTGAACTGCATCTCCAATTGTTTTATGGGACGGGGTCTCACTGATTTCCTTAGATTATGGCCTAGTTCCTCAGGCTGTCCTAGAAGTGCAATTATACTTTCTCAGTTTTCCAGGTGTCTGGGATTGCAGGTGTGCCTTAACCTAGCAAACCCTATTTTCAATTTATCATGAAGGATCTACTGAAAAGGACTTTTAAGTATATCATCAACCCTTCCACTGATAAAAAGATTCTTTCAGTTATATGCAAAAGTATGTGGTCATTTAGAAGGTTGATAATGTAGAATATTTACAACAATGTGCTAAGTTTTTTTTTTTTGAAAATTTTCTTAAAAGTTTCACTTTCATATGTGCATTTTCAGGCACATATTTTATTAAATACAAAGAAACAACCATTATCAGCAGTTAAATAGAATACTAAAATATAGTAATTTTTCTTTCCAAGTATCCAAAACCCTTGCTTCATGAGGTCATTTTAGGACTGCTGATCAAAGAGAACTAAAAGCATATGTAAGAATGAATAATAAAAACATCATATTTTTGTAATCCACACAATGTACCAGTGAATAGAGAGATCAAAAAACTGTGATGTTAACACATCTGAGATCTGGGACAAATTTTTTGCTATCGTGTTTCAAGTGACAGGATCTCTGAAACCTACAAGTATTAGTCCCAGGACAGAGCACTGCTGTACCTTGAAAACTTGACATGGTGCAATGGTAGAAACTTAGGTGAGCTGATGACCTTTGCAAACAGTCACACATAGGGTTACTGGTGAACCACAAACCCCTTATTTATACACTTAGGATCTTGAAAAACTAGACCTAGACATTTACTTTCTAATTTCTTTTTGTTTTCACATTCACATTTCTTTTTGTATTCTAGTGCCCATGGACTCATTTTCCAGTGCTTAGATAATGCTCACTTTGCATTGTTCCCCAACAACTCACTGGTGATTTTTGCCTTTGCTTATCCTTTTAGATGCTCAGGTTGGGGCTATTATAAAATCAGGCAAAGTTAATGAAAAATGAGGAAATATAAAGCTGTCTCTCATTCTTCACTCCTACTCTTGCAGCAGGCATTTCAACAGAACATTGCTTACTATCTAATAAAATCTATTCTCCAACTAACCCTTGAATACAATCACTGAAGTTTTGACTCCACTGTCTTTCAAAGTGCATAAATCGAAGCTATGAATTTTGATGGCATTTCCTTAATATATCAACAAGCAATACTGTCCATTCATATAGGTATCTTACAATTGCATTCTCTGAAAATATTTACTTCTTCTAATACATTGAATTGACTCCATTCCTCCACCTGTGTTTTAATCTTGTTCAATCACAATTTCCCTGTATATCTCCTCCAAAAAAATGTGTATGGTTACCCAAATGTGATTTTTTTCTCATGCTATACATTCTTTGCACTTATATTATCAGAACATTTATGAAAGCATAACAGATTTGCTATTTGAAGTTTGCATTCAGATGTGTTCTCTATTTTACTAAATTCAGTAAATATAATAAAAACAAAAACTTACCATTGACAGTTCACATACATCCTCTAGTGTGACATAGAATTCAGAACAATGTTTCAAATCCAGTCAAATTATCCTAGGAGTCATGAAAACAGAATTTAGTATATTGAATATGCACCATTCACTGAACTAAGGAGACATTCCTCTATCTCAGACCCCACAGTTGTTTTTTTCCTCCAACCATTTCTGGATTTCAACACACCTCTTGGAAGAATGAAAAGATGCCCAACATTGAAGCAACTCACCAAAGGACATATTCTCCTGATAGACATTTTTAATTGTGTACTTCCTTGCCATTATGAACACACTTCATGCACATTCTCCCTCATAATTAAAATATTCTTATACATTTAACATTCCTTTAAAGGCAGTGCCTCTTCCAAAACAGAATTTAATAAAGCAGGGAGTTAAAATTGTTCCAACTGTCAACAACATAATGATGCTTGGAGGAAGATACATCTCATGAACATATATCCCATGATAATGCTCTTTGTTTTACTTCTAGCTGTTTAACACTAGGGACACAGACCCTGGAGAATCCTGATTATATTGAAGAACTGGAAACAACATAATTAGAAAAAAATCACTCTTCCGTTACTTGGAGTATAGTTTCTTCCAAATTGGTAATATATTGATAGAAATGTCTTAAAAATACCTGACTTCTATATGGAGGTTCACCCTGAAAATCACAAAAACATCAATGAAAGAACAAGACCGCATTTATTTCAAACATGCCAATATAATTTTATGTTATAAGCATTTTTACTCTTGTTTTATTTATTTGCATTACATTCTGCAAAATCATAGATAAAGTTTGTTTAAAATAAAGATGTCAAATAGTGTGAGTCATGAAATAATGAAATGATGGATATGGTTTTATATTTTTTTTCATGTACCAAATAGGTACATGTATATAGGAAGAACACTACTCTACACTATACTATATATTCTGAATATACCTTCAGCTAGGGAATTCAGAAAACTGGCATATGTTAAGTATCTAGCTTTCAATCTAGACCTAACTATATTCTTCAGAAAAGTCCTATAGATTAAAGCACTGGTATTATTCATTCATCTATTATACCTGTTACATTTATACTTGTGGGTTGCTGGTCAGGGTAAAAAAAAATAGTGGTGTCAAACACTTACCATAAAAAATAATACCCAGATTCTTGAGTAACTATGAAGTCTTGAGAAATGCACAGAGGCACTGACATTTAAAAATAGTAACTACCAAAGGTTTTGTTTGTTTGATGTTTGAACAAAGAATTGAAAATTCTGATGCAGTTACATTGGAGGAGTTGGGGAAATAGGGAAAAATTTAGCAGCATTTTATGTTCATCTTTACAAGTATCAGCTTTTTTGAATTGGGGAATGCTTGCAGAATAAATATTTTTGCTTGGAAGAACTTTGTTGGCTGACCCACATCAGTGTTTTTGTTCTTGTATAGTAGTTGAAATTACAGGAGATATTAATCACTAAAAATACTTTTAAATCAAAGAAATGATCAATTT